AGTACTATTTATATTTAATATATATATTTATACAGTTACTAAATTATTTATATTAAGATTAATATATGTATGATTGTTGAAATATAATAGTATTTTTATATATTGAATTCATATACATAAAGAAATTTAATTTAAAATTATTAAGATTAAGATTAACATGTGTGGTTATTGACATGTATGGTTATTAGTTGATATGTTAATATGCTTTGTCAAATTGAAATTCAAATTAGGTAATTAAATGATGGACGACCGTAGTTGGATAGATTGCCGTGTGGATGATAGTGGTTTTGTTATTGATGAATTTAAAGAGGGGGTGCAATTTTTTGTGAGATTTGCATTTTCAAGACCGAAAGCAAAATCAGAGATTAAGTGTCCTTGTTCGAAATGTAAATATAGAAAACGGGGGAATCTTGAGGTCGTCTCTGTGCATTTGTGTAAGCATGGGTTTATAATAACTATTATACATGGTATATTCATGGAAAGACATCTAGTAATACAGTAAAAAACTTTGAAGGGGAATCTTCTAATATGGAGTTTGTTAGAAATGAGGTAGATACATTATACCATGAAATGGTAGTTGATGCAATGGGTGCACAGTCTGAATACAATGACGGGCCAATCGCTAAGGAGCCAAATACTAAGGCAAGAGAATTTTATGATCTTTTGCATGCTGCAGAAGTCCTTATAGGTGCTAGGGGACAGGATGTTACAGTACTTTCATGGATGGCAGAAATGTTAAACATGAAAACTATTTATAATATGAGTACTGCTAATTGGGAAATGGCATTATCATTGAGTCGAAAGTTGTTGAGTCCAGAGGACCAAGAAAAGGTACCAAAGGATTTCTATAGTGCAAAAAAAATGATAAATGTGCGTGGACTTGGGTATAAGAAAATTGATATTTGTGTCAATGATTGCTTCTGGTACTATGATGAGCAAAGTAAGAATTTAACTGCTTGTCCAATGTGTCGAGAATCCCGTTATGAGCCAAAGAATATATCTGCTATAAGGCAGAAAGATGTTCCAAGGAAATCTTTGTGGTACCTTCCAATTACCCCAAGATTGCAGCGACTATACATGTCTAGAAAAGCAACAGAGCACTTGACATGGCATTTGAAATGCCGTGAGGATGCAGATAAAGTTATTCATCCTACGGCTAGTGAGGCATGGAAACACTTTGATGAAACCCACCCAACATTTGTTGATGAACCTAGAAATGTTAGACTTGGCCTCTGTACGGATGGTTTCAATCCATTTGGTTGCTCTACAACACCTTACTCTTGTTGGCCTGTTTTTCTTACAGTGTACAACCTTCCTTCTGAGTTGTGCATGAAGTCAAAGCATCTATTTCTTGCCATGATAATTGCTGGACCTAAAAGTCCAAGAAAAAACATTGATGTCATGCTTAGGCCATTAATTGATGAACTTAAGGAATTGTGGACAAATGGGGTTGAAACTTATGATAGTTTCAGACAACAGAATTTTATCATGAAAGCTGCATTACTATGGA